TGGCCTTTAGGAGTGTTTTCCAGTCCAGTCTGCTGGGGCACCATGCCCTGGCCCCAAAGTCCACCTTCAGCATTCCCTGGGGACCTCGCCGCTCCGTTCCCTTGCTGTTCTGTTCTGTTGTTCTGCTGTTCTGTTGCACCCCTTATTGTTTTGCTTATTCACCTGTTTATTCGGTGTGGCGGCATCAGATCGGGCACAATTCCCACACTGTGTCTCCGGTGTTGTCCCCTGTAGGGCTATGGGTCAGTGAGGGTCGTCATGTCTCATAGTGGGGTCGGCCATGTGGTCCTCTCTGTGGACTGTAGAATGCCCCTAAGACCCCCAGCTGCTACATCGAAAGCAGCTAAAGTCCCCACATCCTTCCTGTGACATTCACAGGTCACCAATTGGACCCCAAGCAGACTCCTGAGAGCTCTGTGGGCTCTGTCTGACCAGTGGGCAGGAATCCCACTCTGGCACATGTGGGCAGAGCACATGAGCCTTGTGCCATTCCCACGACTGTGACCCATCAGGCGAGAGCACCAGGCCTTTCTTCCTGGGCGCCGAGAGAGAGTTGCTGAGCACATCGCTGTGGAGGCCAGCTGGGGAGTGGGAGCCACAGCCCTTGCTTCTGCTCCACCCCATGCTGGTGAGCAAGAACAGCAGGCCCCGCTTCCACAGGGTCCAGCGAGGGCAGGGAGCGAGGCCAGGGCGCTAGTCTGCTGGGTGCACAGGCTCGGAGGCAGGGGCTGCACAAACCAATAAAGTCACAAGACCCATGGAGTCTGGGAGGGGCAAGGAAGACTTTTAGGCAGAGGGCAGGGGGAGGAGCTTCAAGCCATTGGAGGGGTTCCCTGGAGAGGAGGACTGGGGTGGGATGGGAGTAGGGGGTGGAGGAAGTCACAAGGCTGGGAGAAGTCCTGAGCTCTGTCTCTGTCAAGAGTGCTGCCAAGGGGAGAAGTGGACAGACAACACAGGAGAAGGCGGCAGGAAGTATGGCCAGCCTGTGAGACTGAGGGACCCTCAAGGGCCCTATGGCTCCAGGCTCCTGCCCTTGCACCTCACAAGGACCCTCTGGTGAGAAGGGAGCTCGGGCATGGAAATGGGGCCACAGGGACCGTGCATGGTCCCGGAGGGCATAGAGAGAGGAGCGGAACACACTCAGAGTCATGACGACGCCGGGCTCCCCGCTCGGATAGACGCTGGCCCCGAGACCTGAAACTGACCTCATGCTCCAGAGTCCTGTCCCCTCTGGCCACAGAGGCCTAAGGGGCAGGGCAGCCCTAGGATACACACTGGCCAGGGCAGTGTCTCAGGACAGGAGGAGAAGAGACGCAGACAGGACCCTCAGGGCTGGGTTGTGAGGCTGCCCTCTGTGAGATGAGACCAAGGGTGTCTGGTTGTTGAGGGTGAACTGGCACCATGTGGTGCGCCCCACCAGCCCAAAGTTAGAGAGGCCCCGTGTGGTGCGGCCACAAGAAGGCCCGGAGCGGGCCATCATGCCAGCTATCAGCAGGTCTCGTTAAGTGACTGTGTGGGCACCCCCATGAGGGCACAGTGGGGCCGGAGGAAGCTGGGCGCAGACTCCAACGGCACCACGGTCATTCTGTTTCAGGTCCCAGGTGCACGTGAAGGCTGCATGCGAGCAGGCGGTGCTGCCATGAGCGGTGAGGCGACCCACATGGGTCCCCGTTGTCTCCGGGACTGCTTTGCAGAAGCAAATCCCCAAGATCAGCTAGAAGCTCCTCTGAATCTCACTGAGCATCACAGCAACACACGCCTGAACCTTACTGAGCATCACAAAGACACAGGCCTGAACCTCGTTCAGCATCACAGACACACAGGCCTGAAAATCGCTCAATATCAGACACACAGGCCTGAACCTCATTCAACATCAAACACACAGGCCTGAAACTCGCTCAGCATCACAGAGACACAGGCCTGAGGCTCACTGAGCATCACAGACAGGCCTCCAGCCCAACCCCAGTCACCCCATGGAAAGCGAGAATTCACCCGAACAAGGGGACTGAAGAAAGAGCTGCCGTCAAGTTGCCCCTGGCTCCAGGCGACCCCACGCGGCAGAGCAAGGGCTCAGTGATGTCCCCATGCTCACTTCCCTCAACTCACCACTGAGCCTCTCTCCCAAGGCAGAATGTGGACCCCCACCCATGAGCAACCCCAGGGCAGGATGGGAAGACCACTCTGGTGTCATTCATAGTATTTATTTTGGAAAAATATTTTAAAAAGGAATTTCTTCATTAACAAAACAGTAAAAAACTCAAATAACATTTGCACAATATTCCATAAATACATTTATATACAAAAAAATATAGTCACAGAGACCCGAAGTGCCTTTGTACATATTTACCAGAAAATTTAAATTATAAAAAAATGAACATCACGAAAATACTCAAGCTTTACAGATATCATGAAAATATTTTTACAAATCCAAAAAATAACACACATTTTTTTTCCACCTAGAAAAAAACATATTTCAGTATCCAAAGAGGACAAACAGGCAGTGTTTGTGTTTAACTCAAGAAAAGACTGGCTCGGAGGGTGGCAAACACACACATGAGGCAGCACACAGTCTCTGCCGTCAGTCAGTCCGTCCGTCCATTAAATATAAATCTTTAAGAGCAACTGTCCATAGTGCAATGGGAGTCAGAGGCCATGCAGTGGGCGCCCGCGCTGCCCGCCGGCCTGGGCCATGAGCAGGCGCCCACTAACTTCAGGAAGAGAGCCAGCTCAGTCTGAATTTATCCCAGCAGCAGCCGGGCCTCCCTCCTCATACAGCAGCATCCGTTGGGGCATATATCCTTGGAATTCTATGTGTTTTAGGAGAAACGGGGGGCTGGGGGTGCCATATCATTTCCCTTTTACACCTGAGGAGACCACAAGAGAGAGAAAGATGGGTTAAGGATGGGGGCCATTGTTCTCAGCCTGCTCCACTCCCTCCCCCCAAGGGTCCAGCCTCACACCCGATGTCTGTTCCACACCACATGAGCTGGTGCAGAGTACCATGCCCCACCCCAATGCCCCTTCACAGAGCCTCAGGCCCGATACCAAACCCCAACACTGAGCCCTGATGCCCACAAGAAACCCCAGGCCCAATGTCACAACACCAAGCCCCAAAACCGAGTCCTGATGCCCAGAGCCCCTGTGCCCCCATGTGGAGCCCCATCCTTCAACCCTGATACCCCCACACTAAACCCCAATATCACCCATGCACAGAGCCCCACCTCCTGAGCTCTGACCTATGCCCCAATGTCAAACCCAAAACTGAGTCTTGCACCCCTACATGGAGCTCCACCCCTGAGCCCCGATGCTTGAATATCAAACCCCAACACTGAGCCCCAACACCACATGCCTGCCTTGAACCCCTATTTTGGATGAAGGCCAGCAGCCTGACCTGGGCCCTAGTCCTGAACCCAGTGCCCCACCCAAGCCCAGCACCCTTCCCCACTCCCTCCTGAGCACAGGGACCCACCCAAGCCCAGCACCCTTCCCCACTCCCTCCTGAGCACAGGGACCAAGGGAGGCCCACACAGACCTCCGTGGCGATGACGCACTCGTCCTTCTCCTCAGAGATGACGAACACCGACTGGTACTTGGTGTCCTTGGACGTGCCACTCACGCTCACTGAGTCCCGCCTTCTCCGCTCAGACGCTTCCCCACTGGACAGGGCAGGGCAGGAGGGTGCGGTGAGCACACAAGAGCACACACCCCGCCCACCCCCTTGGCCCACGCCCACCAGCTCCCCACCCAGCGCCCCAGGACCCTTGGCTCACGTCCCCCTTTCCCTCCCCCTCCCACCAGGAGCTCCTTGGCTCATGCCCACCACCCCCGGGCCTCACGCACCCCCTGGGCGCCATAGAGCCCCGGTCCACGCTGGAACAGCCGTGTGGCTCGGGCCTGGCTTCGAGCTTGCCGTGGGCATCCCTGGCGGGGTCCTCGTTCCTGAGACCCTGCACCAGGTTGTAGTCCACAGCCGGGTACCGGGCCTTGAAGCTGCCCTTGTCGCCACTGTGGTCGCCGTGCACATCTGCCTTCTTGTTGGTGTTCTTGATCTGCGGGGCCCCAATGATGCTGACTGCCACGTCCTTCTCGCGCTGGCAGCTGGCCACGTTGTTCATGGTCTCCACCTCGGCCCGGCCAGCCTCGCTGGGCAGCCGACGCTTCTGCGCCTTCAGTCGCATGCAGACGCCCGCAGCCGCGCAGCCCAGCAGCAACAGCAGGACCAGCACTGCGCCGGCGCAGACAGCCACCCAGGGGAACGGGCCGCCCCGAGTCTCCAAGTAGCTCCCAGTCAGGTCCACCACCACAGGGTCTGGAAGCAGGAACTGGCAGTTGGGGCCACCGTAGCCGCGTGCGCATTCGCACATGTAGCGGAGGTCCCTCTCATGGCAGGTGGCCCCGTTGTGGCACGGGCCGTGCTCACACCGGCTGACGGGGGCGCTGCAATTCTTGCCCGTGTAGCCCGGGGGACAGGTGCAGGAGTAATCGTTGACGCGATCCTGGCAGGTGCCGCCGTTGGCGCAAGGCAGGGAGGCACAGTCGTCCACGTTGCCGTCACAGTGCCGTCCGGAGAAACCCGCCGGACAACGGCACAGGTAGGAAGCGCCCAGGTCCACACAGTGTGCCCCTGCAACATGGGGGGAAGGGTGCGTCACTCACCTTGCTGGCACCTGCTCACACGCCTCCCACGTGCCTGGCACTGGGCACAGAGACAAAGCCAAACGAGAGACAGACAGCCTTTGGCCTTGGCGGGGCCAGCGGGCAGCATGCCCGGCCCGCAATCATTAACCCTCTACAGAGTCCGGGCTCACACCCTGCCTACTGGGCTGTGTCTGGAGCAAGTGTGTCCACAGGCTGCCTACACAGGCCAGGGGACAGAGGAGGCAACTGACTCTGCAGGGGGCAGGCTCCTGCCCCGCAGCCACACAGGGAGGAGCCAGTAGAGCAGGGCTGAGAGAAGGAAGGAGGTGCGGAAGGGGGCGGGTCTGGCAGGGACCTCCTCTCCTCCCGCCCAGCTCCCTAACCCTCCATGCCACGCCTCTGGAGCACAGTTTCTCAGGCCATGCTGGTTTAGGGAGTGGGAGTGAAGGCACACACCAGTTGGCCCAGGGGCCCTCCAGGGCCGTGAGACTACACACAGAAAGCAGTCAAACACTTTTTCCACTGACGGCTCCCTTTGATCACGGTGCCTAATGAGGGTCACCAAGCACCAGGCTGTACGCCCATACCTACAACAGCCCGCCTGGTTCCCATGCCCCACACCAGGCTGAGTTTGTCCAGTGCATACAGTATGTGCCTGACCAGCAGACCACACTGGTCTCGGTCCCCATGCCCCGCACCAGGCTGGGCTTGTCCAGTGCATCCACTATGTGTCTGCCCAGGGGGTCACACTGCCAACTCCCTCATGCTCATGCCCCACTCCAGGCTGAGCTTGTCCCCACACCTGTTCAGCAGACCACACTGGACCCTGGGTACCCACACCCCACACCAGGCCACTGAGCTTGAAAAGGAGGGGCCAGAGCTGAGCTTACACACACAGACACACATACCACATACATAACACACATACCACATACACATAACATACACATACATAACATACATGCACACGTATAACACACACATACACCACACATAACACATACAACATACACATATACACCACACACAATACACATAACACATACAACATGCATACAACACACATAACACAGAGAGACACACATTCACATACATACATGCACGCACACAGGCCGCCACACTCCAGGCTGCTATGTCGGCCAGTGCCTGCTTCAGTGCCTGTCAGGTTTTCACTGTCCCCGGATCGTGAAGGCCCTGAGGGGGGCTCAGGAGTGACGTTTCCCCGGAGACTACGGGCCACTCGGAACCACACTGAACCGTGCTCCCTGGGGCTTCCACTGGCGGACCTGCTCTGAGCAGAGGCCTGGTCTTTTCTTCTGAGGCACCCCTGGGCAGGCCTAGCAGGCAGCCTCTGGTCAGCAGGCCCGTAGTGCATCTGCCAGCGTCTTACCGTTGGAGCATGGTGAAGAGCCGCAGTGGTCCACTTTCTTCTCACAGTTAAAGCCAGAGTAGCCTCTGGGGCAGTGGCAGGTGTAGCCCCCGTTTGGGTTGTCCGAGCAGCGCCCCCCGTTGAAACAGGGGCCGTCAGCACATGTCATGGCGCTCAGCTCACAATGCTGGCCGTAGAAGCCTGGGGGGCAGGCACAGGAGTAGCCATTCTCCAGATCCTAGAGAACAAAGGTAAAACTGACTTCTGGGGGCATCTGGGCACAAGGCTCCACTCACTCCAGGGATAGGCCCCAGCCTAGGGAAAGGTCCAAGCATCCCTGCCACGACATACCGTGCAGCTTCCTCCATTCTTACAAGGGCCAGCATCACACTCGTTGACCTCGATCTCACAGTTGGTGCCTGTGTACCCAGGCCTGCAGGAGCAGGTGTAGCTGCCCTGACCAGTGTTGGTGCAGGCCGCGCCATTCTCACAGGGTTTATGATGGGTGCAGTAGTTGAGATCTGTGGGCGAGCAGAGCGTACGTCAGGTCAGGGGGCTGGCCCCTGTGGCCACCGCGCGAGGGACCGGCCCCTTGGGAAGGAAGGCAGATGGGCTCGGGCAGGACGCTCACCCTGGTTGCAGAAGAGGCCACCCCAGCCCTCCTGGCAGTTGCACTGCCATGGCTGTTGGCAAGTGCCGTGGAGGCAGCCGGGGTACCGAATGCACTGGTCGCAGTACCGGCCCTGCCAGCCGACCCTGCACCTGCAGGACAGGAAGCACCAGGCTCAGGACAGGGCCACTGCAGCAGCGCCTCAGTATAGAGGCAGCCATGGCCCGAGACCTGCCCCATCTCGGGCTGGGAGTCCCTCCAGGCAGCCGGCCTCAGACCTGTGGAGCTCCAGGCTGCCTTTGGGCTACCTGTGACCCAGGGGAGGGGCCCTGAGTGGCCTTATGTCTGCACTTCAGGTTGCAGGCACCCACCCAGCCCCGCCCAGGGTTCGGTACGGCACACAGGCTGGAGGACAGAAAAGCCAAGAACTTACTTGCACTCTCCTGGCCTGTCGCAGACCCCATGCTGCTCATCACAGCCGGGCAGGCAGATCGCTGAGGAAGGGACAGAGAGAGGGGGAAGAGCAGGGTGAGACCTGGTAAGCCGAGTCCCAGCTGAGTTAAGCTCCCTAGCCTGGTGGGTATTGATCGGCTGCCCCACACTCAGCCCCGGGGCAGCATTCTTCTTAATACAGTTGCACACGGACAAAAGGGGCTCAAAAGCCCCCACCCCACCCCACCCCTTTTCTTCTCGGAGGGTCAGAAGTCCTTCCCCCTCCGCCCCTCCCCCACTTCCCAATTCTTAGCACAAAGCTCCACCTCTTCATCTCCCAGAACGTGTGTGGATAAGAGTGGACAGCTGGTGTGCAGGGTGCCGGGCGGGACAGCTGCTCCATTGTCTGCGCTCTCCCAGCAGCTGCCCCGGGGCCACAATGCGGCCTCCCCTCCCCCGGCCCCCTCCGTGCGCCCCGCGTGCGCACACGCGCGCGCGCGCCCCCGCGGCCCCGCCGGCCGGCGCTGTGGGCGAGCTAATCTGCGGCACGCGCGCGGGCGGGCGGCGGCGCGGCCCGAGGATTTGAATAAGAAGGAAAAGTGGAAGTTTACGGCTCCTGGCGAAGGACTGGGTGGGCTCGGCCCGGCCAGCGAGGGGCGGCGCCGGGCCAGGCGAGCTACTTCCCTCGCCTGGTTATGGGTGCGTTAAGCCACGGGCCCGAGTGTTTAATACGACAAAGCCCTGCCGGAGACAGGGGGCACACATAGGGCGTGCGGAAGGGAGGGTGCCTGTCGAAGGGGCAGGCCGCCCCTCCCCCGGGCGGAGCCAGACCAGGCACAGGCCCACCCACTTCCCAACTGGGCTACCCGGAGAACTCCGGGGGGCCCACCGCCCCCGGGCCCCGGGGGAAATTGAAGGCCTCTGTCGCCCGGCCCGGGAGAGGCTCCGGCTGGTCCCCCAGCCCCAGCCCCGCCTGTAGAGCCCGCCCTACTCCTAGAGCCGTGACCACTGGGTACCTAGTAATCCGAACCCGCTTTCCCTGTTGTAGCACCAAGATGCCTCTGCAGCATTGTGTGCGCCCAGTCCGCCCCCTTCGCCCCCTGCACAAGGCCACACAAACCCCCGCCAGGCAGGCGACACTGGAGCCCGAATTCCCACGGCGACACGCACAACAGCGGCCTGTGCAAACACAGGTGCTTGTCACCCTAGAGATTTGGGGGCCATAAGCACCCCAACTCGGAGAACCAACGCAATTCCCAGTGAGCGAGCGCTGTGACAGCAGGCCTGGTTTCCACCGGCCCCACAGCGCTGTCCTTCCTTCCTCCTACCCCCACGGGCTGCAGGCCTGGCCCCAACTCTCCCTGGTAAAGCAGGCAGAACGG